TTTATGATTTTATTTTTATTAAATAAAATCACGAGTTTATTGTCCACTTCTCTTGAATTATGTTTCATATTTTCTAGTATCCGTCGGTTCAAAATGTTATTTAACATAATTTATTGTCTCGAAAATGGAATAATCATTAAAAAATGGAATATACGCATAAATTTGTATATGCAGATACGTTTCATTGTCCACTTCATTTAACAATCTTCGTATTTTAATTGAAATTTTATAATTTCCACAATTCCTTTTAACTTTTAATTAAAAAAATAAATATGCAAAATACCATTTTTTATTAAAAATTACTTCTACACAGAGATATGATTATTTGATTACATGATAGCATGATCATATGGCGATCGTATTGATTGTAATATTAAATTTATAGTTATCATATTAAATTATTATATTCACATCTTATATATACCACTAATCGTTTGATGAAAATCGATATAACCAATGTGATATCGTATTATCATTTTGATCGCATGTTTAAATTTAAAAAAAAGATATGTTGGTAAAAGTAGTTTAATAAAAGAAAAGTATTTTGTATATTTCTGTTGGCTGTGAACCCATTTATTATGCACTAAAAAGTTGTGTCCCATCATATAATCTTAACCTTTTTATTTATTTTTCTTTTTATTTTCCTTTTTTACAATATATTTATTATACAGTATTCGAATTTACTTTTAGTAAACAATATTCATATTCTGATTTCAAAGATGGAAGATTCGCTTTCATGAAAGATTTAGATTGATGTACGCATTTGTTATACGTCTATTCGAGTTGCTTAAATCTCTCAAGTACTTTAACAAAAAAAAAATCTCTCAAGTACTTTAACAAAAAAAAATCTCTCAAGTACTTTAACAAAAAAAATCTCTCAAGTAAAAGCATGTTTACTTTGCCTCTTTTGACTTTCATACAGTCAAAAGTCGAAAATAAATATTAATTATATTATTTTAATGTGTATCTTCACCCATTATTGTTTTTAGAAAAAATCACATATAAATATTTATACTTTTTTAAAAATTCCAAATAAATATTTAAATTATTAGATTTTCATATAAATATCTAAAATTTCCAAAACTCCAACAGAAATACCTAGATTTTAAAATTTTCTCTAAATATACCCAATTTTTTTTTATGACATTAACTACTTTTATTTAAAAATATTTAAATTTTAGATTTATTTGAGAAAATTTAAAAAGTGTAGATATTTCTGTAAATTTTTTGAAAAGTTTAGATCTTTATATAGAAGTTTTATAGTTAAGATATTTATCTTGAAATTTTATACAAAAAATAGATATTTATATTAAAAAAATTCTATTTTTTATATGGGGAAATTTTGGAGACAATGTGATCGAAACTTCTTGCATTCATATTTACGCCTTTTCAAATAAATAATGGATGCTGCTGTTCATATATAGCATATATTAATTATATAATGGTATAGTGAATATGGTATTCACAAGTTTACTTGCTTTATGGCCTGTCCATATTCTAACATGTAATCCCTATTTTAAATACAAACAAAAGTACATTATTATATCCCGGATGTGTAACTATTTTTGTTTGATGGGAAGAGTACGAAATATTATTTAATTATATGGACCAAAACTTTGTGCCAAGAGCATCATTTTAAAAAATCATTAGGTGATTCATAATTTGACCGTACATACAAAATTGTATATTTGAATTTAGCGTCAAAATAATACGAAAATACGACCTTATGATCTTGGCAACATGTCATCTAATCAAAGATTAATTTAAGAACACAAATGTTAGGAGAAACTTATGTTTCTCTCTTGAAAAGATTAATTAAAATACTTAGTGTAATAATAATAATAATAATAATTAAAATTAAAGAATCATTATACGAAAACGAAAATATAAAATCAACGAATTGAATGCAACGGGGCGAAGTGCATTTTTTGTTGGACGGTCAATGAATTCAGATTTCTGAAATTAATCTCCAAATTATATATGTATATTAGAAACTAAACCTTACTATATATATATATATGAAACTAAACCTTACAACATGCGCCTTAAGCATAAAATGATGCATAATATATTGATACTTTATGTTAACGGAACTAATTTTAATCCATTTACCTATTCCTTCAGATTTTGTTTTTCGGTAACGATATTAGTGATTGAGATTTTTTTATAGAAAAATGTCATGTTGATACTTTGATAAACATATTATAGAGTTTTTAAAAAATATAAAACTAATTAAACTAATAGAAACATTGCATATATAATAGTATTGAATAATGTTTTTGATGTATAGAATAGGTTATTATAATTAAAAAAAAAATCTTATAGAAAAACGTTATAATATGTCGGCAGATCAAGAACTGCTTCTTGCTAACGTAAATGATTTCCATCTTTGTCCTAATAAAGTAATAAATATTATTTTTTATTTGTTTTGGTAAATTGTAATACCAATGCGGGGCTTGAACTGTAAATTGTAATAAAGTAAAGTAATAATTATTAGGAAAAATAGATTTTGGGAAATTAAAAATGTCTTTTCATATCGTATCAATTAGACTAGCCAGGTAACGTATCCGACCTTTTTTGGAAACGTATATATTATAACCGACCAATTTATATTATTCCACTCTATATCGACATAAAAATTTAAAAATAAAATGACAACAAAAATTACAAAATGGACAAATGGATATATCTCAAAATATAGTCCAAATAAAGATAAACAAGATATCCCGAAAAACCCAAGATAAATTAGATAAACATTTAGCTCCGATGTTTTAATTATCCAAACATAATTAAAATTTTTTTTGCTATAATATATAATTAAAATGGTTTATAAGATATGACAATGTTTATATCTAAAGCAAATATATATATATATATATATATGATATCGGATATTAAACATTGGATACTTACTTACCGAGATAAATAATATTTTCAAACATTTCTTCAATTCTATTCTGAAAAAATATATTTGTTTACTATAGATTCGACTAAATTTATACTAATTCGATCCTAAAAATATTTTTGTACTATAGATTCGATTAAATTGATATTAAATTAGGATGTAATCAGAATCATATTCATAAAAAAAGAATAAAAGATAAAACTTCAGAGTCAAATAAACTTGACTAAAATGCCATGGAATAATTTCTGTAGCCTCAAACAAAAAAAAACTTCTATTAACATTTCAACATTAATACAGTTATAAATTGGCATTTCTTTTACAAAAAAAAAAAAAAAAGAGGTTAACATTTCCTATGGTACCAAAAGCTTTGTCAAAACCATGCGGTTATCCTCAAGGAAGATGGATCCATATCTCAAGTGACATCTCGAATATCGATAGTGGCGAAGAGTGATCGTCGGTAGAAAAATTATAGATAGAAAGTAATTTCTGATAGGTTTCTAGATAGAAGAGAATTAAAGAGATAAATCGAATGTATTTGAGAGATCTAATGACCACATAATTATGATACTATATAATCAATAATAATTTAAAGAAATTGTTTGAACTAACGTACCAACAATATATATATATATATTTTTTTTTTTTTTATAACGGGAAAACTCTAAAAATAAATGTGATTGATGCGGAGTAATTTTGAAATGAGTGACATTCTTAAAAATATTTTTCGATAAGTGTGTAAATGAATGACAAAACACATTGACAAATTTTGTGTCGATGGATGGAGATAGTTTTAACGTCCGGAACATTCGCTGGAGATAGTTTTAATATCTGGAGTTCGAGCCTATATCTCAGGAAGAAGAAGCTGTGTATCTAGGGTTACCGACTAAGAAGCCGTCGTCGAAAACCGCCGTTGGCGGCACCTGATACGGTGAAGCGAGAATCGCCTATGCATCAAAGAGATAACAACAAGATGAAGAACTGAAGAACTGAAAAAACTCAGCAACAATGCAACCCTAATTTCGACCTAATGTTTTGGGCCATACAAATTACGGATTTGCCTCTCCGCGTTTCCAAAGCTTCGATTTCTTCCAGAGTCTTCAAGAGACTCTCCTTCTCTTAGAGGTTTTGCCGAATACATTCAACACACATTTTAAAAGACAGATTAAAAATAATAATCATTGTTTGCTAATAATAATAATAATAATAAGAAAGCGGGCTCCTCCATATCCACATTATATGATATTGTGGATGTGGTTACGCTATTTAGCTTTTTTTTTTTTATTGATAACCGGGTAATCCCAGGTCCAAAGGGCTCAGACTAATCCCGACCCACACGCACAACCGGCACCACACGTGTGGGATGTGAAGCACCCGAAGGTGGCCGGAAGGGAAATCTCCATATTCTGGGTGTTGAACCCACGACCTCTTATTCAAGAAGTGGACTCTCAAACCAACTGAGATGGGGGAGATCCCCAACGCTATTTAGCTTTCTTAACTCGATTTGATGTTTTTATTTTATCAAAGTTTTTCAATTTTTTTTTGTACTTGGAAAAAAAACAAGAAGAGATAAATTCTGCCCATGTGTCAGAAAATAAAAGGACGGATAAGTATGAATCCGTACATGCTTCACAGCGGTTGGTCCAAATCCTAATCAAGTTAATGGATTTATTTATCAAAATCCAGAATAAATGTATTAATCCGTACATGTCTCAGTAATTGGTTTTGCTTTTATAACACCCCATCGATTCTACAAAGAATTCCGTATATTTTATCAGTTTTATCTTTATATATATATATATATGTATATATAATAATATATTATCAATAGTTTCTTTTTTTAAAATATGGAGAACTTACATTAGTATGACCTTTATAATTTTTGTTTATTTTATTAAAAGTGCTACTAAAAGAAACGTTAACAAAAGAAAAAATACTAAAAGAATGCTACGGTACATTTTAAACTCATTTCATGATCAATAATCATAAATAAAAAATATTACTTTACAATTCCACAGAATCACATATAATATTAACCAAATAGAATTTTGTAAGAATATTCCAATCCAAAAAAAAATGATGAGAAAAAAAAAGCAAAAAAAAAAACTCATAAATATTAACATAATTTTTCATTGCACAACGGCATACATAGTGATGACAAATATACACACATATACACTGATACATTAACGAAATACACCAAAGAAAAAGAGATACAAAATGAAAAAAGATAGAGAAATAAATACAAAAGCAGGAACAAACTCCCATTTCAGTGACCTATCTATGCAAACCCTAGTTCATTTTACCTAATTAAAACAACTATAATATATATATATATATTCTATTTTTTATTTATTTATGGGTTTATGGGGAAATTGGTCAAAAGGGTCATCACTGGTCAAAACCCTCGGATTGGGGGAGAGGGTTTTTCTCGAAGGGGCCGAGCCTATAGTCGCCGAGTCTGGTCTTGTAAGCAGAGGATTTGTATTGGGACCAAGTGAATTCCTTGTAAAGGCGGTCGTCCTGGTTAGGGACGAGGCATGTCAAAGGTGCGATCTTTTCATTCAACGGCGGTCCACCGAAGTATATCATCGAAACCCTAGATTTCCTCGTATCTGCCAACACTCTGTGTTTCACGCTTTTGAATTTCCCATTAGTCATCACCTGCACATATAACCATATATATATATATATACACACACAAAAAATCCATTAGTCTAGATAGGGATGTCAAAATAGATCCGACTTGCTGAGTCAGATCGGAACAACGAGATGGAATCCGATAAATTCGAATCCGAAAAAAACGGATAAAACGAACCAACTCGTCATAAACTGAATTCATCAGAGTTAGCTCAACGAATCCACAAATGGATTCGCGATCCATTTTTTTTTATTTTTTTATTTTATCTTATTCGAAAATATTTAAGATTAACAAAATTTTAATTGTATTTTTTAGTTAGATATATTTGGTTCACGAATCGATCCGTTCAATTCGTGATCCAAAACGAATAGAATTGAACCAAATATTTTTTGACTTTGCTAAAAAAAAGATCAGACAATTTTTTTTTTAAAATTTCTTCCCCCTTTGGTGTGAAAAAAGAAAAAAAAAAGATAAGTGGAAGTTGGTCCATGAAAATTACATTTTTGAGGAATATATTTATACGGGTCAAGATTAGGACCAGAAGATATTATATGTACAAGTGTTTACGTCACGTGACTCTAAATAGATTCTCCACGCACCAAAAAGAATAAAAAAATAAATAAAGAGAATTCCTCCGAACTTATCTATCAAATCCCTTACTACATAATTATTAAAGATTCTCCGTGAGAATTTAGATTCTTCGTGGATATAATCATATAAATAAACTTATAAAATAAAAATAAAAAATGACCAAAAAAAACTACACTAATTTATCAAACATACTCATATTCTACAAAAAAAAAATCTTTTTGATTTCATAAAAAATTAGACCCAATTTTAAAATGTCAATAAAATATACTAAATCACAAAATCGCTGTTGTTCATGAAAACTAATTTTTGCGACGTAAATCGAATAATATAATTATTATTATTTTCATACAAAAAAAAATATAATTATTATTATTTAAAAAAAAGAGAGGAGGAAAGAGGGAGGGGGGAACCTGAAGGGCGTCTCCGACATTGATGAAGAAAGAGGAGTGATCAGGAGGGACAGCGACCCAACTGCCGCCTTTCAGACAGATTTGAAGACCCGTCGTGTTGTTCGATCTCAGAACTGATATCACTTGTGGATCCGTGTGCTCTCCGAACCCCACCACCTCCCTCCCCCGCCCCTCCGCCGCCGCCGTTTCCTCCGCCGCCGCCGGGTAATGGTTCAGCCTCAGGCAGGAGTCGCTCTTCTCGTCCTTCACCAGCTTGCTCAGCCTGTCTGCTGGCTCGATTCCCAGCCCTTCCGCCATCTTTTCCAGCACCTCACACGCCACCGCCTTCACCGCCGTCATGTACTCCTCGACCGCAGCTCTGTTACAGAAGAACAAGAACACAGTTCAGAGGTTGGAAAAAAAACAGGGGAAGGAAGCTCTGTTTTTGTTCTGTTGTTTTGTTTTTTCCCCACGTGGGAATTCATCTTTTCGAGGGTGATGAGTAAAAGATAAGATCGTTTCCCGAGTTTCCCGGGGAAAATGACTCTGCTTTTTTCCCGGAAAACCCGAAGAGTTACGAGAGGAAACAAAAACGGGGGAGCTCTGTTTCTTTCTCGCGTTTTCCGGGAAAATCACGAAATTTCCCAGGAAAATGCTGCGGATTGGGAAAACTGGTCGTGACCCATTTACGGAAACTCCGTATTTCGAGCAACAAGAAACAGATTTCGATCAAGAACAATGCTCTGTTTTGTGTTCAAAAGATTAAAAAAAACGACTTTTACCGGAAAATCGGAGGAGTTTGACGGAAAACGGCGAGAGTGCTGAGAGAGATGACTTGGGGATTGGCATTGAGGAGAATATACTCAATCCAACCCACGTCGCCGTTAGGTCCGATCCGTTTGCTACCGTACCCGAACGGGTCGGGTGGACCCGCCTTGTCCTTGGAAGACTGAGGCAGAGCGAAGAATCTGATCGCTTCGTGCTCTAATCGGGTCATGAGTTCGGGTCGGACCCCATGGTTCACCACCTTGAAGAACCCGAATTCCACGCACGCTTCCACGATCCGGGTCTTGGCCTCCGGGTCGGTTAGGTCCACCATCGGGATTTCAGCCACGGGAACCGGTCCCTGAACCGAAACCGGTCTGCATGTTGGGATTACAGAGACGTGGTTGTCTAACGTCACTGGCTGCGACAATACCACCATGGTTTCTGCTGAAACAGAAGCTCGAGTAGATGCGTGTGTGTGTATATATATGTGTGTGTATATATATATGAGAATATGTGTGTATGTGTGTGTGTATATGTGTAGGGAGAGGGTTTATGTTACGTTTCTAGGAACTATGGAGAGAAGCCATCTGGTGAAGAGAGTGTCTGCTTGGCATTTATAAAGCGAAGGCTGAAAAAAAAAAATTTTTTTTTCGGGGATCTTTTTTAATTTTTTTTTGGGTATATCTTCTTTATTTAGTTTATATTGTTAAATGTTTAATTTAAATGGAAATACAGCGTGGATTTTTTTAATATTTTATTTTATTTTTTGGGTTCTGAAATCGAAGCTGTCTTCGTGGGCTACGGAGAACTATTGATATGGTCGGTCGTCTTTATGTTTCGCATCTTTATTTTGACTCGGATCATTTTCATAGTTTTTTTTTTCTAAAATTATTTTTTAATTATGAATTTTCATAAACAATATAGAGCTTGGAATTATATTTATGTCTCTTTAGTGCACGTATTTTTTTCTTTAATATAATAATACTTGTAATTCGGTTTCTTCACGATTTGGTTACCTTTTAAGGATATTTGGTGTTTTTATTCCTAATTAATCTTCTATGTCAAAATTTCACAAATAAATCACAAATAATGTCATTTTACTAGCATAAGAGTTTAGTGTATAATTTTAATTAGACTGATAAAATTCGAAATTTTATAATGATTTTTGTGGTTTAAACTCCATAAAGAAATACGAATTAAACCGATTAGCTTCCTCATAAAAAAAAATAAAAAAAAAATAGAGGAAGCCTCCGAATGACTCAGAGGTTTTGTTGGGGAAGAAACGACCAGACATTAATTCGTTTCATTAATCAAATTAGGATAAGGTCAAATCCGTCTTTTTACCACTGATGGATGTTTTATTAGGTACAATTAAAAACCACTTATTATTAGGTTCGTTGCATTTTATACCAAATTCGTTTCATTAATTAAATATGCCACTTTAAATTGTTTTGTTTATTAGTTGAGTAAATAAATAAACTAATTCATCATTCATGTGGGTAAAATACTATTTGCTTATAAAATGATATAAATCAAAATAGCATATCATTTTTATTTTATTTCAAATATTCTTTTTCGGGAATTTATTACTTAATCTTGTTAAATATATGAGATTAGTAAATAGTAATATCCTAAAGTCTAAGATAGAATTTGGTCCACCCGTTATCTTAAACAAAAGATTTATTTTCACAATAGAAATTTATTTTTTGTTGAGATATTAAAATTTCATATATAGATATCTCAACACAAATAATTATTAATTGTTATCAAAATGTTGTAAACCAAATGTTTATATTTGTAAATTATAATCTTTATATATACAAGTTGATTTTTCACATGCAGAAAAACATTACTATTGTTTCGATTTGACATTTTGTCTTCCAATCTTTTTAAAAATTTTAAAATTTTATTTTCACGTAATTTGTATATATCTCTATGGGCAGGACAATTATAACTCTATCTACCGTAGATTGAGTTACTATATAAAAAATAGAGAATAGGAATGAGGAAAATTAATATAGGGAATAGGTTAGGTTATTATATATTTGGCAAAACCCTAATTTCATTCTCCTTCTCATATTTTTGTTAATTAAGGTTTTTATTTTTATTTATTATTTTACGTCCTTATCCTAACTCTGTTCAATTTCACGTTATCGTCATCGTATCGAATAAATAATTGGTGCACTATCTTTCACAATCATTACAACATAATCAGAAAGTTATCAATATTAATCCCCCATTATTTTAGGACGTACAATAAAAAGAAAAAAAATCCCTTTTCTATTGTTTTAGGCCTTTAGCACAATAAAATATATATTGTTGATCCACATATTGATGTTCATATATATATATATATATATATATATATATCGGATATTCACGTTTCCTAATTGTTTTCTAACATTAAATGTTTGAAATTTGTTTCTATTGATTATATTTTATGCAACCTATTTATTGGGCGGGGTCATATATATATATATATATGATATACCCTGCTTTGAGTTGGACCAATTTATTCCGGAAAAGGTATAAAAAATTGAAGTTTTATAGTTATTTTTTATAATTTGGAAGTTTAACTGATTTTTTATTCAATTATATTTGAAATTCAAAAGAGTTTTTGGTTGATACAATTTATAAATCGTAAAATTTATATATATATATATATATGTATGTATGTATATAAGACAACCAAAATTAATTATTTTCAAACTCCTAAATTGATTTTTTTTAAAGATTGTATAGTGATATTAATTTATATTTCGACTATGTTTTTTGCATCTTCGTAGTTATCTCCTACATTGTTCTTAATGGCTAATGATTTGCCACTAAGGTAAAAATTGTAAAAACGTGAAAAATATTTTAATATTATTTTCACTTTCTATATATATATTTTGGCCACATCCTTGTTTTAAGTCGGCTAATGCTTGAACAATAGAGTCACGCGCTTATTTCTTTCTTTAATCTTTTTTGTTAGTGAAATAAAATAAAATCAAATGGATAGAATAGAACTTATGCCACTTTATCTTGAAGTTAATCTAAAATACAATAGTTATGTGTTCTTTTCCTTTATTAAAAAAAATCGGTCCACGTTAATTCATTTTTAAATTACTAAATGCACATACACGCATATATATATATATAGTTGGGGGAAACTGAGTTGGCATGATCAACATACCGAGAGGTTGGGAGTTCGACTCCTTGTCCGCTCACCTATCGCCTGTCAGTTACGGCTGATTTATCTCTCACGCGTGTATTGCACACTCGTGCGTGTTGATTTGAGTTTACTCGGACAGCGCACCCGAAAGGTAGTAGACGGGTTCCCAATTTATAATATATATATATATATATATATATATATATATATATAGTTTACCAACTTTGGAGATGCTAATTATTCCACTTGTTCATGAAAATCATTTTTCTCAATCATTGCGCATGAAGAGTCCATAAACTAGATACTATAAATAGGTTGATGCACGGAAATTGTAATTTTGTGAGCCATAATTTCACATAAACAGATCAAATTGTTTTTAAAAGATACACACAATAGTTTAAGCTTCTTAAAATATGTTGTGTTGCCTTTATGGATATGGTCCAACCAAATTTCTAAAATAAGATAAAGATATTTATACGTCCCACTAAAAAAATTACTAGAAACGAGTTTGCTCAAGATAATCCAATTATGTTATTAGTATATATATACACCCGAATTTGATAGTTTAACCAATGAAATGGGCTCAAAACGTCAGTTTATCCCCAATTCGATCTTCAAATTTGGAAAGATTGTGTATATTCTAAATCATATGATTGATTTCAGTCTCGAGATTAGTTTGATCCTCTGTACATAAAATTTGGTTACCCAATATATATATATATATATATATTGATTTAATATTAATAAATAGATTGATTTTGAATTTTTTTTGTAATGGCTTATTGACGACCAAATGAAAGAAACAGTTCCCTAACTCGGAGTTATTGCAAAACTAAAAAATCTTAAACAAAACAAAATGATTAATGATGTCTTTATCGAAATCGATTATGTTAATAGAATCTCAACCCCTATATTTATTTTCTCTCTACTTGGGACTTTGCTTTTGCTTTCAACCCCAAACATATTTTTTTATCAATTTTTTTAAATAGCAAAAATAAAAGAAGGAAATGATGTAAAAAGATTGATGGATATATTATTGGGATGTTTTAGTGGGAATATCAAAGTTTAAATTGATGTCGACCTTCCTCTCTCTCTCTCTCTCTCTCTCTCTCTCTCTCAACACACACATATATATATATATATACACTCCTATAATTACAGTTTATCTAAGCTATCCGAGTGAAATAAGCTCAAATTTGTTGTTAAATTAATATCATGAATAATAAAGTAATAGCCTTTTAGGGAAAAAAGAAAGGGGTATGTATATATATATATGTGTGTGTGTGTATAATGGGGTTTGTGTGTGCTCCCGCGCAAAAATTAGTAGATTTCAATCATGGTGTATCTGAATTAGCAAAACCAAATTATTTTATGCTTAAAAGTTCACGACATTTATTCCTTTATAATAAAATGTGTTAATTTATACTCCCTCCGTTTCAAAATATTTGTAGTTTTAGGTTATTTTTCATGTTTCAAAATATTTGTCATTCTACGTTTTCAAGACATTTTTTTACAATAGTTTCCAATTTTATCCCTATTAAATTCCAATAAATTATTAATGATTACATTATTTTCATCATTAAATAATGGTATATGTGATTTTTTATATCTTTTATTAAAAAATGTGAAATAATCTAAAACAATAATTATTTTGAAACGGTAGAAATAATAAATAATATTATAATGAACGGTCGCTTGAGTGTGTGCATATTTGTGGGTTCGGCAAATTCGTAAACGTAACCCTACAGACTGCATCGTCATTGGGTGCTTTGGGAGCCCCCCTTTCTTGTTCCACTATTTTTTGACCCAAGTCCTTTTCGAATATATATCGGTATATCCCTTTGAAAATCAATGGCCACACATACATACATACATACATACATGCATATATGCAAACACACATATACACACATACATACATACATAGGTTGCTACAAAAATTCAAAGACAGATGAGAGGTGTGGAAGTGCCCACATGATAGGAAATAAACAGGTGGAAAGTGAAAGATTCATACGCAATGACGGATCACTTTCTACCACATAACATATACACACATACATATATATCATTGCATGATGAAAAATAAATATACGCATTTTAAACTAGTATCCACACACACACACACACGCATATATATATATATGTATATATCATTGCATGATGAACAATATATATTCAAGTTTTAAACTCGCATGATATATATATATATAAACACACACACGCTTCTTGTATATGCAAAATCCAGAATCTTATTTTCTTCTCAACTTTATAATTTTTAGAATTGGAAAAAAATTAGGGTTTTTGGTACGTCGGAAACGGTAACTGCAAGCCTCATCGTTATAATTCGACAAAACTATCGGAATAATTCGACAAAACTTAAAAAAATTTCCAACCCTTTTTAATGAATTATCGGATAGGATTATGCGATGGAATTGCCCAA